AGGTTATTGATTTGAGATCTTTCTTTGTCCTTACTCTGAAATTTCTGAATAGATTCTCACCTAATACACTTTAGTTGCTCTCACGAGAAGGCCCAAGACCCCAGTGGGACCTGGGGTTGGCAGCCTTTATCACGGGCCCAGTCATTCTTTAGGTGCTCAGAGACACTAGCACTCTGAAAGTCTCCTATGAATACACACTGCCTTGAATTTCATTCCTCGTTTGTTTACCATCTCTTTCCTCTAGACATTGAGTATCATTTCTCCAAGTTTCTTGGTACAGTGCCTGGGACTCTGGTGTAAGCCCTCACCAATCTTCATCGACTGACTGACAAACTGATGGACCTTTCACACTATATGGTAACTGTTTATTCCCTTGGCCATATCCCCCTTAGAAAGTCAGTAAAAGCAGGACCTTGTCTGTCGTGCTCCCTGGATTAGTGGAGAACAGTCAGTTAAAGAGAAACCACTGCAGGCATTTCAAAAAAGGAAAGGCTCTAATGTTGAAATTAGAAACTGACCAGTCTGTTTAAGGTCAAGGAATCAGGACAGTGCAGGAAGCGGTGCCAAAGCCAGAGCCTCCCTGATGCCCTAGAGCTGGAGACTGACAGGACACTGTGGAGTCCAAGAAAGTTGCAGGAACCCCCACCTTTTGACTCTGCACTAGCCTGCCACCACACCAGTGCCAGACAAAGAATGCATCCCTCTGGCGTCCACATCTTACAGCAGCACCTCTCAGAGTAGTCTCTGACTGGAACATTGCTTGCAAGAGGTATGGGCACGAAAATGGGACAAAATGAAAACAAAACCTAGAAGTAATTACCTGTTGCTTGAGTGAAGTGTGTGTGTGTGTGTGTGTGTGTGTGTGTGTGTTATTGTGGGCATGTAACATTTTAGGGACAGCCAATACCTACCTTTTATGGATCCCAGTGGTAACTTATCATGGAATCTTTTCTCCCTCTCCTCTCTTTCTTCTTTTTCTTCTTCTTTTCAGTTTTAAATTCAAATTTTATTTTTATTGTAATAAATATCTACTTGAAATTGACAAAGATCTTAGAAAAACACATTTAATTGCTTAATTTATTTAATTTGTAGAGTACGCACATATGTTGCGTACCTTTTAGTTTCTCGGGAAATATCACAGTTGCTACAGTTCATTGATATCAACTCTGCCAGTACTAATCACTTTTTAATAATTTAAAAGAAATTAAACGGTGAAAAAGAGCTATTTAGTGACACATTGGCTCATTTTTAAAAGGAATTCTCCCATTAGCACTGGACCACATGAATTGGTTAGGATTTCCTTTGAATTTTTTTTCAGTGTTAGCTTTGTGTTTCCTGACCACATTCCAAAATGTGTGAATTTTTTAATAATAAGCAAGGAATTGTTGATTCATCTGTTGTAGCTCAAGAGTTTCCACAGCAGGATGTCTGTCTCTAATGCTTTCAATTTAGGAGTCATAGTGTGGTCTATCTATGTGGAATTCTTTCTTAATCACTTCAACCATTTATTGAGTTGTTATGTCATTATGCCAGCCAGTATCTCTACGAAATACTTTCCATTTGTCCATTCATTTAATTAATATTTGTTGAGCGCTGACTAAGATATCCTTCTGAGCACTGGGAATAAATCAGTGAACAAAGAGACACAAAACTTGGTCCTTGTAGAACTAACATTCTCATGGGTTGAGGAAAGGGTAGATGATAAAAACAGTGTAAGTAAAATGCATGGTATGTTGGAAAGTAATAAGTGCTATGGAAAAATAGAGCAGGGAAGGAAATTCTGGAGTGCTGTGGAGGGGTGGCAAGTTATATTTTAGAACAGGATAGTCAGAGTAAGCTTCATTAGGAAAATAATAGTTGAGCAGGGACTTAAAGGAGGTTAGAGAATTAGTGAGGTTGATATTTGGAATAAACTATCCAGGGTGAAACTTTGAAAGCATCCCCTTTAGGATCAAGATAAAGGCAAAGGAGGCCCCCAAGTCGGAAGTTCTCAACCAGGCTTTGTAATGCAACAAAAATCAATATAAGGGTAGGAACGGAAGAGAGAAAACTGTTGTTCTTTACAGATGATAAGGATTTTCTATTTAGAAAGCACAAAGAATCAGATATTAATCATTGGAATTAATAAGAGAGTTTAGTAAGGATGCTAGATGTAAAATCAATGTAAAAAATCAATTTTATTTCTACCAAACAGTCCAATAGAAAAGTGGACAGAAGATTTGAAAGAAGCAATTCTTACAGGATAGGAGGAAACCAAATTGTCAACAAACATTGAAAAGATACTCAGCTTCATCAGCAACTGGACAAATGTAGATTAAACGCACAGTGACATGCCAGTTCACATCTCTCAGACTGGTAAAACTGTAATCATTTATATCAAGAATATGAGAGGACGTGTTGGTACAACTCTTATCCACTGATGGAAGGCACATGATTGTGCCTACGCTTTGGAAAACAAATTGGAATTACCTGGTAAGTGTTCAAGATGCACACACATTTTGACTCAGGATTCCACTACTGAGTGTTGACCAGGGGGAAACCTTGTCCATGTGCATCGGCAGACAAGTATAAGCATATTCATAACAGCACTTTTTGTACCAGCAAAGCACTAGAAATACCCCATATGTCCATCAACATCTGAACCTCTAGAACAGTGCCTGGCACATCGTAAGCACCCATTCACTCTAGGAAAAGGGGTTGCAAAGATATATCCATTTTGAACACATCATAAAACGGCTAACTATTCAGGCTTCTATTCAAAATGGCAACACAGGGTTCATTCTTACTTTCCTTTTTACTTATTTGTAACTGCTTTTTCTGACAGAGAGAAATCTGGCTTCCAATGTCCCATGCATGTACTTGCATTTTACCAAAATGGTGCTTTGCTATATGCATCTCACCCTGTGTCTTTCTTTTTTCATCTGCACATTTTTAAGACACATCTATGTTGCTGTACGTAAATCTAGCCTCTTACTTCCAACTACAGCATACTGCTTCATCATGTGTATTGACCTATCTTAGTGACCGGAATCTTTTCAGAAAAAAAAATGTTAGTCTAAAAAGGGCTTAGACAAAGAATTCATCAACAGTCCTGAGGCAGAATCAACCTCAATGGCTTTGCAATTGCTGTTCCCTCAGCCTGGACAGCTCTTCCTTTAGGTTTTCCATGGCTATTTCCTTTCTTTTTTCCCCTGCCTCCTCCCACTGTCAAGCTGTTGTTCACAACCTTAGCTGTAGAGGGCGCAGCTTACTGGCCCATGTGGGAATCGAACTGGCAGCCCTGCTGTTCAGAGCTCGTGTTCTTAACAACTGAACTATACGGCTGCCCCGCTCTTTCCTTTCCATACTCTCAGATTTCAGCTCAAATGTAACCTCCTTAGAGTTTCCTTTCCCTAATCAAATTCTATAAAAGAGTGTTTTTCTCCTACTGTGAAACATTCTATCACATATTCCTGCTGTATTTTCTTTATGTTCTTGGTTACCAGCTGAAAAATCTTATCTATTGATTTATTTACACATGTACTGTCTGTCTCCCTGCACTTAAATATTAGCTCCTTGAGGGCAAAGATTTTATTGTTTGCTGTGCTTCCAGCACCTAAAAAACAAAGCCTGGCAGATAATCAGTACTCAATAAATACCTGAAGAAGAAATGAATGAGAGAAGGGTAACGTCCTAGGCAATTCCAAGCAACCTATGAAGAGGATCTGGTTTCAAGGTAAGTCAGACCAAATCAGAATATTTCACTTCTCCACTTGCCTCTGTCTCAAGAGTATTCATCCTTACTCATGATAATGTTGTAGAGCTGGCTGTAAACAGAAGGGGTGTTGCTCAAAAGACCCGAGATCCAGTCCTAGCTGGGCCTCTTCCTGGTTTTGTTACCTACCCACAGGGCTCAGGCTATGCTAACAAGTTGTAGGTGAAATCATCCAATAACTTGGAGTTTCTATGATATTGGTTAACTCCCTGGTGTCGATGAGTTGCAGTCTGTAGTAAAATGATGTTCCTAAAGCTACAAAATTCTACAAGACACAGTGGGGGATGGTGTAGTGGGTGGGGCCTTCGGATAGGCCTTCAGTACATAATCAGCGCCACGGCCCAGGTGCTGCAGCCCTGCACTGCCCTCCAGGGGAGCATCGTCTTCCAATGGTCTCAGGCCTTCCCGCTCCGCTCTTAGGAGCCTGGGCTTGCGGGTGTGTGGTGTTGTGGGCGGGGCTTGGCAGAGTTGTGCGTGCCGTGGGCGGGGCTATATCCGCCGCAGCAGCTCTGTGGATCCCGGCAAGGGGCGTGGCTACGTAGGGGCGGAGCGGCCCGGGGGCAGAGGAGTCGCGGTGGCTGCGCCAGGTGCGGCGGCCTGAGCCCAGCCTCTGAGGAGACGCGGGGCGGGGCGGGAGTGCGCCGGGGCCGGCGGGCCACTGCAGGCCTCGCGTCCACCTGCCCGCTCGATCTTGCCCTTGCGGGTCAGCAGGGCCTGCGTCAGCCCGGCCCATGGCGGCGTCGGCGGCCTTGTCGGCGGCAGCGGCGGCGGCGGCCCTGTCGGGCCTGGCGGTGAGGCTGTCGCG